TATATATATATATACATATATATATATATATATATATATATATATATATATATATATATTCAAATACAAGTTAAAATGGATAAAATGGAATCTTGATTTTTGCATTGTAAAAAGATTCATTATTTTCAAATCTTTTTCACTGGACGCTCAGAGCAGTGTACAAATACGAATAACTAAACAAATATTTCACTTTTACGAATAGTGAAGAATTGTTAGTAACAGCGACAAAAATGTATAATATGTCGCAGATATGACGTGAGTAGAAATTATTCTGGGAGAAGAAATAATAAATTTATTATTTGTTTTTACCGTCTGGGTTGTGTTTAAATATATTTAAAACTGAGAAAATATTGCAACTTTCGGACAAAAAAATGGCGCAAGAGGTGGATGCACTCTTCACCTCTCTTTTTTTAACTCTGAAAGATCAAATCGTGCGATTTTTGAAAGAGTTTTGGAAAAAGACTGACAATGTCTTTCGTGTGACGAGCGAGCAAAGTGTAGCGCGAGGTCACGTGGTTCAAGGAAGGATAAAATTGGCGAAACGCAAGACTGGGCATACGTCACTGCGAGATATCGAACTTCCAAGAAGATCGTTCGTTTGACGGATCCAATTAAGCGAGACCACGGCGAGGTCATTAGCATTGATACCGAAATTCGTGTTCCAATCAAAAGGCATTCTTCGTGGCATTCGTGCTGAGGTCATCGCCGCGGCGCGCGGTCCAAGATTCACGATAATCCCGATCGCGATAAGTGAGCAGGCAAGAAGGAAGATCGATCGCAATAAACTCTCTTCTAATAAGGTCGAACCTTATTTTACAATCGATCAATCATCACGCCGAAAAGTTGCGCGAAACTTGAAAAAAAGAAAGAAAAGAATATGAGCATGAAGACAATGTGATGATGTCGTGAGATATGTGATTGTTTGGAGAGCAATTTCATTCTAAACGATATTGTCTTTATATAAATATTCTGAACAAACCAATATTAAATCATCGTTATTCAAATACTCATTTGGTGGGATTTTTGTTGTGATTATGTCGAAGCAAGTTTGAAGCAAATATAAAATATAATTAAAAATATAAAAAAATTCTTCGTAAAGAAATTACAGGATATTTAATAAAACTGATTTTCTTTCTTTAGAGTGTTACGAAAGTGTCCCATTTACTAAAGACCAGAGGAACTGCAGTTAAATATAAAATATAATTAAAAATATAAAAAAATTCTTCGTAAAAAAATTACAGGGTATTTAATAAAACTGATTTTCTTCCTTTAGAGTATTACGAAAGTATTTACTAAAGACTAGAGAAACTGCAGTTAAATATAAAATATAATTGAAAATATAAAAAATTCTCCCTAAAGAAATTACAGGATATTTAATAAAACTGATTTTCTTCCTTTAGAGTGTTACGAAAGTATCCCATTTACTAAAGACCAGAGGAACTGCAGTTAAATATAAAATATAATTAAAAATATAAAAAAATTCTTCGTAAAGAAATTACAGGGTATTTAATAAAACTGATTTTCTTCCTTTAGAGTATTACGAAAGTATTTACTAAAGACTAGAGAAACTGCAAATATAAAATATAATTGAAAATATAAAAAATTCTCCCTAAAGAAATTACAGGATATTTAATAAAACTAATTTTCTTCCTTTAGAGTGTTACGAAAGTGTCCTATTTAAATGTAGGTTCGAATTATTAATGTTTACCAATCTTTCCCCACAATCCTAACCTAAAATTTCCAAATCTATCTATCTAGAACTTCTTCTGCTACGTGCCAAGTGTCGGATCACGGTCGTGGGGTACGCGATCGCGTGTCGATGAACCTTCGAAATTAATTTCTCTATTCACCGCGTGTTGGGCGGCCGTGTATCAAGGTCGCGAGCTCATTAGCCATTGATAGGCCGCGTTCGTGGCCCAATCAAAGGGCATTCTTCGTGCGCGCATCGTTCGTGCTGACGTCAGGGCCCTTTCTCCTTTCGACGGAGCCCAGGAAAATCGAAATCTCTTCGGCGACGTGTGGCCGTGTGTGTCTCGTTCTTCAGCAAGGAGTGGAGAAACGATCGGTACGAGAGGAAAGTAAGGCTGAAGGAGGATGAAAGCACGAAGGAAGGAAGAAGAGGACGTGGAGGAACGGTGGTTGGGGAGAGCGTGGTCGAGGATCGAAGGAGGGAGAAGAAAGTCTCTCGAGGGCTCGTTCAGTGCGAGACTAGTTAGCACCTTCTCTTAAGTCCGAGGCGCGTTCTCGAATCAAGGCGCGCATTCTGCTTGAGCCGGGGCCCCGGCCAGACCCGGCTACAATGCCGCATTGTACTTAAATCAGATTCAATTTGGGCCCCATTGAAAATTACGCTTAATAAATTATTTGGGCAATTCATAAATCCGACTCGTGCGGTGCCTGACTGCTCGCCTCCGTTACCACTGTCCCGTCGTTACCTCTCCGCTTTCGAAACGGCGCAAAGCTCCTTTCCAAAGACCGTTTACTAATGGACCAACCTCTGGCCAACGTGTCCCAGGGACGTACCTACTCTATCTGCTCGCAGCCGTGATTTTCTAACCGAGTTTAGATGGATCAAAGGGACGAGTGTGTTGCCTGCGTACGAGCGATCGGACGGGAATTTTTTCTCTGTTTCTCTCTTTTTCTTTTTGGAGATTCTTTTCGAAGAAATTCGAAACGCGAGAGATAAGTAAATGTTTCAGCGTCGAAAGAAAATTGGAGATTAAAGACAACTGTGTTTCTAGTTGGAGAAATTTCGCCTGCGTTGTGACTCGCACGATCCAGCAAATACGAATGTTTGTTACGGACATTTTAATCTCTCTACGTGCAGCTACTATTTACAATGATGATCAAACTACGTCAGCGAGTATCACTGGTAGATTGCGGATTTTTATACAAATTCGTAGTTTTACGAACGCAGTTGAAAAGATCGAGCTTGAGTAGGAATTTATTTCACCATTGACTACTGAAAATATTGAAGTTTAAAATTTTGCGTAAATGCATAAAAATCGACAAATCTACGTCGTTAGATCATTCTAGGTATAAATTATACTTCTTATATTTAATTGATTATCACTTATCAACTTGTCAACTGTCATTATCCTCTACGCTACTCGTTCTTCCATCGTGTTCTGCATATAAATAAGCAAATCAGAAACGATAGTTTCCACAAATTGAAAATGTTCGAAGCCGTAGCGCGATCTAACCCTACGACGAATGCGGCCCTGAGGACGATTAAGCTCCGTAGCACCAGGTAAATACGCACGCGCTCTTACATACGCGCGGGCCATGATTATCGACCTGCACGTGTACGTCGTTTATACTACAAATTAGTAGGCGGTTATAAATGACACAGTATCCTCATTATCGTGCTGGCTTTATTACCGAGCGTCTCGCTCACGTTTGACCGACTGTCCGGCGAGTTTCTTCCGAGGATTCCGACCACGAAAAATTATCCACGATATATATATATATATATATATATATATATATATATATCTTTCTTTCTTTCTTCGGAGAGCAGTCTGTCACTGATTAATGCAACAAACGTATGTATATGTCTCGTTGCTCCGAATCTCGATCCCCTGATTTCCGCTCGATAATTATGCCTTCGATCCCAACACTCGCGACAGATCTACTAAAGTAGATAGTCGTTTGGTCGAGATATAGTCGATGGGACTTTTGGGACTAAAATCGATAAAAATCGCGATTTTGGAGAGTACGTTTGTAATGTAAATAAAATTGATCAGTTAATCAAGATATTAATTATTTATTCAGATATAACATAGTTTAAGATAAATATAATATAAAAAATATAATTTAATTAAAATGTTAATTTATTAATTAAGATAAGATCTTTTGGAACTAAAATCGCGATTTTGGAGAGTACGTTTGTAATGTAAATAAAATTTATCAGTTAATTAAGATATTAATTATTTATTCAGATATAATATAGTTTAAGATAAATATAATATAAGAAATATAATTTAATTAAAATGTTAATTTATTAATTAAGATATTAAAACTATCGTGACGCTGTGATATTTATTTCGCTCGTTCGAGTGTGCAGCGAAAGAAACTTATTTATCGCGAAGGTCGAGAGGTCCGCGCGAGGAAGGAAAAGAAAAAGGAGAGAAGCGAGAGGCGGGGATTTGGGAAAATAGGTAGGAAATTTACGGCTACGAGGAAACCCACGGGGGAAAGAAAAAGGTACCGGGAGTCCTTTTAACAACCCGCAAACAAGAGGCTGACACGTTCAAACAATCGGTGGACGAACCGACAAACCTATAATTAGCGTAGGATCCCTCGGATCTGAAATCTTTTTTGGCATTCGTTTTCTCGAGCAGCCGGCTCGCACCGCCGCGCCTCTTAGATCCCCTCGTTAGATCGTCATCTGCGAATGTTCGACGTGTCGGAGGGACTTCTGGCCCAGAGTCTCAGAAGTCACCGCGCGAAATTACCTCAGAACCATGAAGATCTGACCGCGTTTCGTCTTGCTTGAGGATTCTTTCATGGCCTCGAGCTCGCTTGCCATTCGTCGGAAACAAACCCGTGGTGCAAGTTGCTTCGAAATGGATCGAGACATATGTAGTACCATCGATTGAAAATTATTTGGATATATATTTCATTTTTTACTGCATTTTTATTTTGCACTCCCATTGGAAGTTTAATTCTTTAATATTTATTTTTGATATTATTTTGATAATTTAATTAATTATTTTTTAATATTATTTTAATAATTTCATGGTCACAAAAGATGCAATGAAATTTTTCCCGTTTTATACGAGCTTCAATTCATTCGAATGATTGAATTTTAGTTAAACCCCTTTTCTTACGATTTTCTTTCCAAAGTTCTTAGGTAAGCATCAATTATTACAACTGCAGCGTTACATTAGATGTAAAGCATTGAAACATTGTATGCGATTTCTACTTTTGGCAAATCTGGAAATTCTTTATCGTTTTTCCATAATTCGTAGAACTCGTTTTAAACTAATTTTAAATTCATTTATCTATTATACGAACCAAAAATTTGTAGCAGAGAAGAGAATCAGTGAACTTCTATTAAGTTCTTGTACTACTATTTGTCGCTTCAACTTCTACTGTGCCCCATGGATGTTGGTAAAAATTCTTTGTTTTAAAATTATTTCAATTATTCTAAAGTATTTGATAAAAATAGTCATTGATGGCCATCGTGACAAAAACAACAATAGTATTAATATTTAGTTCCTCCATATCTTAATTCCTGCATATGTTTTAATAACTACGTAGACATGTTCATTTTCTACACATAGTAAGTATATTAAACATTCTACGAAATTACTCTTAATATTGAGAATGTTCACTGATATTGGATCTGTGCAGGTATATTATACAAAATTTAAAAAAAAAAGATTTATCTTCAAATTCTGGATTCTGCGCAGAATGATTTTTGAAGTTAAAAAAGAAGATAACGAGAAGCTCTACTTCTGCGACACGATCACTTTTTTACAAGCGTTGCTCGTTCAATGAGTTTCCTTGTTATTGGATAAAACGAAGAACGTCGAAGAGCGCACGATTTACGAGATATCTCGCGGCTCATGTCAGAAATCTACTTTATCTTCGTGTGTTGTTGAAACCGCCAGTGCCAATTCTAAGAACAGAGAATGATATCGTGTTTACTACATCGTGCTACAAACTGTGCATAATTTAGCTCGCAGCGGCTGGATCGCGATGATGATATATCCGATAATTACAGACTAATGTGACACGTAATCAGTTGCAAATATATTACAATATATTTCACTCTTCTTGAATCTTCTAACTTCATTATCCATATCGACAGTTTCTCGACAACAATGTGATGAGCAACAAAAATATTCATTTGTTCTTTCTTTCTTTTTTTCAGTGAAATTTTTAGGAAACCGCGATCGTTCTAAATTCTATGCTTTCTCAACATGAAGTGTCTTGCGAAGCAACGATTAGCAAATTAATGAACGAAAGAAAATAACATAATAATAAAATAAAAAATAATAATAATAAAATTTAAAAAAGATAATAATATTAATAAAATATAAAAAAGATAATAATATTAATAAAATAAAAATAATAATAATAATAATAAAATTTAAAAAAGGTAATAATATTAATAAAATAAAAATAATAATAAAATAAAAATTAAAAATAATACTAGTAATAATAAAAAATAAAAATAATAATAAAATAAAAAATAAAACGAGAGTAGAGCGATATCCAGTTTTCAATAAAACATTCGTGAACGTAGCAATACTAAAGTCTTAAAGTCTTAAACGAGAGACCGCGAAATGCCAAGAAATAGAAACAGGAACGATAAATAATAACAGTATCCAGAAATTTCAATAATCTATTTCTCCAAACAAAATAACCTATATTATAAATATTATATATAACAAAATAACCAAAATTTTTATATTTGAGCGAAATTTCAAAGCAATCTACAAACAAAATTCTCACACTTTTCGATCTATCGCGGAGATGTGGACGATGAAGAATCGCGGACGTTTTGCGGAAAGATAGATCCCCTTGGAAATCCTCTGTCCCGAGGAAGAACGACGGTTATCGCAATCTGAACTACGCCACGTACAATTAGTTGAAAACAAGATAATCAAACGGGCAAACGACGTCGCTACACAACGACCACACCACCTGCGCACGCCGCTGTTCTTAGGTACTGAGAGCATACGTGAGCCGATATATATATATACGTACGTACTACATACATACATACATACATACATACATACATAAATACATATATATACACATACACACGTACATTCTCGTGCAGTGAAATTTACTTTACGCTCGTTGGTAATTAATTCGCCGCTCGCGGCAATTAAAATTATACGTTAATGATTTGCAAGAAGTTGTTTTGTTGCGGATGGACGAGCGGTAAAAGGCGTTATCTCTGTCAGCTTCTAATTATAGCGTCCGATTGCTCCGACACGCGGTGCGAAACAAATGAAGGAAGGATGATAAAGATCCTCCTTGTGTTCCTCTCTTTCGTCCCCTCTCCTATTTTCCTCGCAACTCTTCCAATTGCACGTAACAATTTACATACACGTATGGAACTATGCGTGACCGTACATGTACATACTTCGCGTAATTGTTCCCATAATTTTTCTATTTCTCACTGCCGTTAGTGGATTTTTCTTTACTTTCTCAAAGCTCTGTTTTTCTATGGTGCGCGTATGATATCGTTCGGTATTCGTCGTTCTTATCTCATTAATTATTATTAACAGTTGAAGGAACGATCGTCGTCTGGTAGAGTGCGCGCGTTGTCGAAAACCAAGCGTGCATTCGCCTTCGAGAGCCATCGAAATCTGGCGTGTTTCCCCGAGTGAAAAAAGGGTTAAGGTCACCCCCTTCTCTATCAGCACGAGGTTGCGCTCTTAATGCGCCGTTTGCGTCACACCAGCAATTAGTTCGCGTCAGAAATTCGTCAAGCCGATGATCTAGCCTTCGAACTCTGTTGTAATTCGTGTTATCGCGACAAGCTGTTACAGCTTCAACTCACTGATACAGCTTATTGTCCATTTTTCATCGCTCGGGAATATATTCAGCGAAATATTCCAATAAACAAACCGATTGGGAAACTATGAGAAATTGCATTGCACGTATGTACATACGTATGTGGCTATGCGCGTGTATCTCTCTCTTGGCTCTTCTTTCACTAAGATGATAAATCGTTCGTAAATGAACGATCTAATGGGAACGAATCGTTCGGGATATGTGTGTGTGTGTGTGTGTGTGTGTACGTGACGAGTGAAAACGCGATCTCGTTCCTCGTGACACGGACGAGCGAAAGAGGGGATCAGAAGAAACGCTCTCGGTCAAAAACGCTAGCACACAACGATAACTTTTTGATAACACGCCGTCGTAATTAGTCACTGCCAATTAACAGCTGCTCAAACGGAAAACAACTGGCCTCGTTAGCGATATGTTCGGTGAAGATTTCTCGTCCTCACCGGGGAAAATCTCGGCGCGTTACACGTTTTTCCAACTCGAGAATTTTCTATTTTCTCTCTTTCTCTCTCGCTCTCTCTGTTGCGAGATCGTGATAAAACGATTGTTACCTTTCAACTATTTCCTGCCTTTTATTTTCTACGAAATGAAACGAAAGGATCGCTTCGTTTTTTTTTTTTTTTTTTTTTTTTTTTCTGGAAAGGTATTTACATTCTGCTTTGAGAATTTGGTGCATTCGAAAGATTTTCATTTTATTTCGTATGTTGCCAGATATATTCGCGGATATTCGTGCGAATTTTTAGAAATATGATCAAAAGAATGGAACGTAGACGGAGAACAGTTTTACTAGATATTATTCTACTTTAGTTTTTAATTTTTTAACGTTTGAATTTCTTATAATCACGATGATATTTTTATCTGTAAAAGAATTTTTCGAAACTTATACATGATTCGGAGAACGCAAACGTAACAGAAACTGTTTACTACGTATACCTAAACCAAGGCAAACGACAGAAATTCGATTTATATAATATAAATGATCTGTAAACGCACCGATATAAAGAACGACACTTATGGTTAAAAATTGAAGATAAAACGACCTAGCAGAAGCCTATTCAACCGCGATAAAAAGGAAATTAAAATGGTAAATGAGAAAAAGGATTTAATCACAGAAAAATAATAATAATATTAATATTGTAAAACTAGTAAAATATCGGCGAATAATAAAAGTGCTAAGGAAACAAAACTGATTTGTGAAGAATATTACCGACGAATTTCTTTTTCTCTCGTTTTATTTTCATTTATCTCGAGGAGATGGAGGCAAAATAAAAAAAAGAAAAGAAGAAAAAAAGAAAGAAGTCACATCACTTCGTTGAAATTTGACCGATAAAACGATTGGACATGGCGCGACACGCGCGATTCCCCTAATCAACAGCGTGTAACGGCTTAATTAATAATTAGACGAACGATTCATAAATCAAGCAACTTTTTCCACAGCCACGAAATCGAATGTGAATGCCCAGGGAAACGTTATCTTCTGTGTAATTAACGCGATACACGCACGACTGCTGTAATACACACAAATGCGGAATGCTAATCAGCGTTCGCGAACGACCAAGAAAAGGAAAAAAATATAATTGGATCGCGCAGATAGGGCGAATGGTGCGGAGTAAATATTTCATAATTTCACAATCTGCCAAACATCCATAGACGAGCTACCATGGATTCTGTCCGTGCATTGTTTAATAACGTTTGTCACCGTCATTTACCAACATTCGATAGAAATTAAAATTATTCGATAGAAATTAAAATTATTCATAGCAGCCGAGAGTGGCTTACGGTTTCTGACGTTAAACGCTCGATAAAATTAATTACGTAATATATCGATTTCTTCGATCGAGCAAACGCAAACATCTTCAAACTTGGTGTAGAAATAAAATACTGTGACAACAAAACCGCTAAAATTCATGCGAACGAAATTTTGTAATTGTAGAGATTTTGTAGATTCATGATTTTTGGCTTTCTCTTTCTTTTTGGTCTCGATAAAACTCGAATTTGAAGGAAATAACCGTGATTTATAGAATTATCGCGAGTATCTAGATACGTAGCGATTATTTTACACAGATATCCCAGATAATTTCTCGAACGACATAAATATACAAAACCACGCTCGTGTTCGAATGTCTAACAAGCAGTGATTCTGTTCGTTAGTCTAACGTTTTAATTATTTTACACAGATATTCTAGATGTTATCACGCACAACATCAACGCATCCTTGTTCTTCCACAACCACGCGGAACGGCACGTGTTCATGCTGCAACAAATTCTTAACAACTATATATACTCTTTTGATAGCCTGACGAGAATTCGTGACAAATAGATTTCAACAATAGATTAACAATTCAATTCGTTAATCTACCGTTTTAACTATTTTACACAAATATTATAGACGTTAGCTCGAATAACACGAACACTTAAAGTATCCTTGTTTTTTCCAAAACCACTTGTGCTCATATTGCATCTTCCTAACAACCACCCTCTTTAGGGTAGTGACAAAAATTCGTAACAAATAATGACAGTATTCTTTAGTCTAACATTCAATAATGACTTTATTCGTTGACATAGCATTCTAATTACTTTACAGATATTCTAAACATTATTTCGAATAACACGAATACTTAAAATATCCTTATTTTTCCAAAATCACTCAACGAATTTCGAACTATTTCTTTGGTAATTCGACACGAATTCATAAGAAATAGCAACTCTTTTCATTAATCCAGCGTTTTAATTACTTTACACAAATATCATAGACATTATCTCGAATAATAAGGTATCCTTGTTCCAAAATCATTTGTGTTCGTATTGTAATAAATTTCTAACAACCCCCTTTGGTAATCTGACGCGAATTCGTAACGAACAGCGACTCCATTCGGTCAATCTAACGTTCTAATTACTTTACACGGGTATCCTGGACATTGTCTCGAGTAGCACGAAACGCATCCTTGTTTCCGAAACGCGTCGTAAATTATCCTCGTCCTTTCGAAACCCCCGCGGTACAGCTTGTGTATTCACGTTGCAACAAATTCCTAACGACTACCCTCCTCACTGATGATTTAACACGAACTCGTAACAAATAACGACCCTAGT